TTTTGTTTTAATTTCGATTTACTCCATCTAAGCTAGTCTTCGTTTTAGTTCATCTCATTTCGTTCCTAGTATATCTGTGGAAGTGGTGTGTTTAGTGGTTATTATCAGCGCCCTGACTTAACCAAGCTTGTTTTGATTAAACTTCCATCTGTAAATGGAAGATGTTATAGAACTAATGATTTAGCAATGATCGATCGCCATGGTCAGATTAAATTTGTTGGAAGAAAAGATAATCAAATCAAAATACGAGGCCAACGAACTGAACCAGGTGAAATCAAACAGATTCTTCTGCAATCATCAGCTCAGATTAAAGATTGCGTAGTTATCAAGTATAGCGAAAATCAACAGGATTATTTAATAGCCTACATAGAATCTACAACAGACGATAAGTTGCAGTTAGAGTCTCGAATGAAAGAATATTGTAAACTAAATTTACCATTGCATATGACTCCGTCAATCTTCATAGTATTAGACCAATTTCCATTGAATTCAAATAACAAGTTAGATCATCAGCAACTGCCAAAACCAGATTTTACGCAGATTAACACTTCTGCTGATAAATGGACGATATTGAATTTACCAAATATTGACACTAACCTGATTTTTCAATTGAGAACGCAGGCTGAGCTAAGAAGTCTAACTCGAGAACGTTTGTTTTTTGATATTATTAGAGTATGGAACAAAGTACTAAAAAAAAATATTCCTATAGAAAGCATGGACGTCAACGCTCACTTTTTCGAAGTCGGTGGGCATTCATTATTAGCTGCTAAACTTCTCTCTTGTATGCCCAATTATTGTAAGACCCATTTGGTAATTGTAGATCTGTTTAAATACCCAACCATTTCGTCATTAGTGAAATATCTCGAGCAGAAGCTAAACATCGAGTCAAGTGCCACTACAATGAAACAGAGTACAAACGGTAATTTGGATTCCTCTGTGTCTGAAGTTCATTCGCTTGCAAATGATATAGCCATAATTGGGTTAGCAGGCCGCTTCCCTGGTGCTGATAATATAGAAGAATTTTGGTCTAATCTCATCAATGGTGAAGAAAGCCTAAGTCAATTTAGTGGCCAAGATTTAGATTATGCAAATTTTAGTAGTCAATCGATGCCCAACTCAACCTATGTAAAAGTAAATGGATGGTTGGGTAAAAACAAATCAAATGAAGACCATACTCGCAACATTTTTGGGTTTGATGCGAGTTTCTTTGGTTATTCCCGACGGGAAGTAGAACTTTTGGATCCACAGCAACGTCTGTTCCTAGAAATATGCTATCAAGGATTAGAGGATGCTGGCATAGTAGCGGATGATTTTCAAGATGAAAATAAAACTATTGGTGTATTTGGTTCCGTCGGATGGAACGCTTATTTGAACGAGTATGTGCTATCAAATCAAGCAGACGATAGTACCATTAATACATATGGATTAATAATAAATAACGATAGTAATTTCTTATGCACACGTGTATCCTTTAAATTAAATTTGTGTGGACCTTCGGTTGTGGTTCAAACAGCTTGTTCTTCATCTTTGGTAGCCATTCACATGGCTAAAGAAGCTATCAGACGCGGTGAGTGCCACATTGCCATAGCTGGGGGTGTCAGTTTAGATGAATTAAACAAAAAAGGCGATACTTATACAGCTGATCACATTTTGTCACCAGATGGTCATTGCCGAGCATTAGATGCATCAGCTAATGGAACCGTGCCGGCACAAGGATTGGGAGTTGTCGTACTAAAACCGCTTGCGGCGGCGCAACGAGATTATGATCAAATCTATGCAGTCATTATTGGATCGGCTATCAACAATGATGGATCCAACAAAGCCAGTTATGCAGCACCCAATCCATTAGGTCAAAAGAAAGTGATAGAAAAAGCCCTGATTGACTGTCAACAAACTGAAGTAAAGAGTTATATGTATTATATTGAGTGTCATGGTACTGGCACACAACTAGGAGATATGATTGAATTAACGGCATTAAGTGAGGTGTATTTCAACCAGAAAATTCAACGTACAATTGCAATTGGAAGTGTAAAGAGCAATATTGGTCATGTAGATGCTGCAGCAGGTGTAGCTGGACTAATCAAAACAACACTAACATTGTATAGAAAGCAACTGCCACCATCAATAAATTGCCAAAATCCGAACAAAGTTATTAAAGAAAATAATCAATTATTTCATGTCAACAGACAATTAACGAACATATCTGTGGCGAATTCGCCCATCTATGCCAGTATTAGCTCATTTGGAATCGGAGGCACCAATGCGCATATGATCATTCAACAATATCAAGTCGAACCAAGACTCATTAGCATTTCTTCAACTTCGAACTATCACGTATTGTGTTGGGCAGCCAAAACTTCAGAAGCAGCCAACAAGATGCGTATACAGTTGTTCGACTGCATGAAGAGCCATTCAGAAGTTCAGAATACATACTATCGTAATGCTGCTTATACAAGTCAAGTTGGACGTATACATTATAGACAAGCGAGACAGATTATTGTGGCCAAAGACACACTGCATGCAATGAAAAAACTACTGGAGTGTACATCACCAGCCATATCTACTCTTTCAATATTACCTGTATTCATATTTATATTTCCCGGTCAAGGTGTTCAGTATAGTGGCATGGGCATAAATCTCTATCAACGATTGCAAAGCTTTCGTACATTTGTGGACCGAGTATGGTTTTCATTTCTCAAATGTGTTCAATCAAACGCTTCTTTATATGATCAGATCACGAATGAAACAATCAGAGCATTATCAATAGAAGAATTATGGAATTCATCTACTAATAGGGACAGCAAACTATTGTGGCTATCTCAAGTTGGTTTATTCTTGTTGCAATATTGTCTTTCCATGTGGTTGATCAATATGGGACTTAAAATGGACGCATGTATAGGACACTCGTTAGGACATTATGTTACTGCAGTATTTGCTGGTATATTAAGTGTCGATTGTGCCATGTTAATGCTTTTGAAAAGATGTGAATTATTATATTTACATATCAGACAGAATGCAAGAGGAGCGCTGCTGTCTATTAAAATTAGTCACGATACTGCACTGAAAATGTTACCTGACGATATTGAAATAGCGGCAATCAATAGTCCTTGTCATATTACCGTAGCCGGAAGTGATACCACAATAGTTGCTTTACACGAAAGGCTTAGTTCTGATAAAGTAGCTAGTGCACCTGTAAAACGTAGCCAGTACGCGTTTCATTCAAAATTTGTGGACGGCATTTTACCTGAGTTCGAAAATTTCATAGCGCATCTGAATGAAAAAGAAATCAACAAACCAATTACTAGTTGTGTCCACTGTGCTGATACCGTTACTGGTACACTTTTGCTCAAAGATCATTCACCAAAACTCAATATCGATGCTTCTTATTGGACTACTCATTGTCGTCAGTCAGTTCAGTTTAGCTCTGCGCTAGAAAATTTGATATGTTCTCAAACTAAAATTAATCCAAGCTTTGTTTTTCTGGATTTAGGACCAGGACGAAGTTTTTTCTCGTTTTTACAGAATCAATCTTATTGTCATGCGAATCCAGATAAATGGTCATATTATCAATTGTTATCTAGCTATCAAAACTTTGAACATCTAAAAGACACAGAATTGGACGAAAATGAAGACTGTACTGATGATTACTTCACCATGATGGTATTGGGTGAATGCTGGAAAATGGGAGTAGATATAAAGTGGACAGAGTTGTACACTTATTCCAATGAATTAGAACATCCGAAAAAAATTTCCTTGCCGTTATACCCATTCAATCACGACAATATTTATGTATTATCTAAATCACAAAAATTACAGAATAGGCTATCAATGTGTCCTTCTGTATCACGGCAATCCCTGTCACATTCTGAGGTTAGGAATTATTCAACGGAAGTTAAAAGCTTACCGAAAATATCTTCAAGCGTACTTGATGGCGTTATTGAATGTTTTGCTTCAGTTCTTGGTGGCTCTGTTTCGTCCTATTCTCTTACATCAGACTTCTTCGCTTTAGGTGGTGATTCCTTATCTGCTGCGCAATTTACGTCAATATTAAATAACAAATGCGGCTTAGATACTTTACCTATCGGAAAACAGATACAGACACGTACGCTGTTAACTTGCAAAAGTGTTTCGGCATTAGCTGCATTAATCACAACGTTTCTCAGTCGAAGCCCAGAAGTAGAAAATCCAATAATGAGTACGGCATCGGTCGCAGATATTTCACTTTCAAATGCGAGCATTCTTCCAGAGTCTGGCATGCCTTTGTTTTACGAATCACTCTATTTACTACAAGAAGGAAGCTTAAAAAGTTCCCTTTTGCCATTGGTACTGGTACACGCAGCAAATGGTGATGTGTCGCAATATCAAGCTCTTGTGGTTCATTTGCGTAGTGACCAAATTGTTATGGCATTTCGTGCGCCAAGTTTGGATGGAGTCACGAAGACTCATTCATCTCTTGTTGATATGGGAAAAGATTACTTGACAACTTTAATGCATGAAAAAAGTCCATTTATGCACTACTATCATTACTATTGTAAGAACCATCCGAATGCTACAAATGTTCCCTTTTTGCTTGGTGGACATTCCTTTGGGGGGCTAGTTGCCTATGAAATGGCCTGTCAACTACACAACATGACAACTAACTGTGTCGTATCTGGTCTTTTACTGCTTGATAGTCCTGCACCAGGTAAAAAAATTAATGAAAAGATATCTGATGATGCAGATCTATTGGATTATTTTATTCATTATTCAACAAACTCTTTCATCCATAGGCCTATTGCAGATGAATTACGAGAGAGACATAAACATGAAAAAATTGACATGCTTGAATTAGCGAAATCCTACTTGCCTTCAGCCTTTTATGCGGAATTGCCGCATGCGCTACCAACACTCCGATCCGCTATGCGAATTTACAGTTCACAACTATCACCTGACACACTTAAGGCTGCCTATATTGGAAGTATAATATTCTTTCGTCCTGGAAATGTCGGAACACATCCTGATAGTGTCCATCGGTCATTGCATTTGGATTGGCTTAAAGTCTTGAATAACAGCAAATCTACTTTTGTCTTGGAGCATGTGCCAGGTGACCATGTGACAATGATGCAAGCAGGTCATGTAGCGCAAGTGGGCAAAGCAGTTCAAAAGTGGTGTGAGATATTGTCTGCATAAAAGGCATGCACGATATCTACAGTATGCTGACGTTCTACGTTTCTTCTCTGCCCATGATGTTTTTTTCCGTGCTTATTTTATTCTTGTTCATCTTCTTCACAATAATAAAAATTGAACGCTTTTGCCCAGAGAAATACAGCTTGTGATTATGGCATACTGAAAAGTGGCGGGCGCATTTCATTACAAGTGGAAAACCTTTCATTTTATTATGATTACTTGATTTCATAATTCCACTGCAGGTTTTTACTCAACCCAACGCAATACATAGTTGAAGACATTTAAATTGTTCTTCTATTATTTTATTGCGAACATAGGTACTTAGTTACTAGTACAATGTATGCTTTTTGTTTCAAAATAGACTCTTGTGCAATGTAGTAACATTTTCTGCTGTAACATCAGGGATGTCACATTCACCTTGCTTTTAGATACTTTTCTTAAAAGAAGTAACTACTCTGGTTACTAGTTACAGTACCTGAGTAATTAAAGTATTATCCATCCAAAAGTCGATGCGTATGACTACTTTTTGCATAACCAGAGAACAGAAACAGATAGAGACCTGCGGTTTTCATCATTCGAAAGGCTGATATCTGGAGTATCCATATGTGTAATATTCAATAGTTTGAAGGTTTTTTTATTACTGACTTTAAACCGGAATATTTTTCGTTGTGTTTTCTCATCGAATTGAATAAGTATTCCAATTCAAATTATACAAAAATATAATCGAAACTACCCTTATATCCCTACAAAAACTATGATGTTCTTAAAAAATCCTGTAAGAAAAAAAGATCGAAAGAGCGGCTCAAAATTTAATCGCAAATACAAGATGGTTTCAACTACATTTGTATCTAATTTGAGTCAAAAACCTTGTAAAATTTGATGAAAAAAGATACCAAAAAGATATGTCAGTTTAAAGTCAACAATGAAAGAATTCTTCACTGTAGAATAATAATTAATAGAGTATAAAAAAGGATATTCTAGAATTGCCCATGTAAATTCAACGACGAATTTCTACTTTCTCGAAAATACGATATTTAGGATGATAGGAATAAGAAATTTACAGAAAATTTAGTGATTGCAGCATTTTTTAGAAAGTTGAAAATCAATTTTCATTTTCATTTCATAATGAAAATTTCCTTTATTTCGTTTATTTCACGTATAAATGTACAATGAACAAAAAAAAAGACGAGATTACAATTTGACACAGAAAATAAACTCTTTAAAAACTAGAAACGATAGAAAAAAAATTAATGAGTAAAAAATTTAAAAGAAAAGCTGTGCATAAAAATATATTGAGCTATAATGACTATTATGATTTAAGAAGTTCTGAATCATATACAATCACATAGACTAATATATCTTTGCGATTCAGAATTTTTCAATTTATGCTGTTTTGAAAGTCGTTTAGTACACAATAACAACGAAAATGGTCGTTTGTTAAATGATAAGTCATTCAAAATCTCTAATGTTGCTCGAACCTTTGCTGGATATCCTACATCGAATATTGCATATGATCCAAATAAAAAAAAACATACCTTGAGCTGGTAAATTTGTTATAATAATTGTATTGTACTAAATAACAATAGAATAACTTTTAATATTGTTAACCATTTGTATGTGTATCATTGGAAAAAGATTAATTTGTTTCCTTAAAGAAAACGGTAATACAGTTAAGTGATGAGAATTATACAATAATTCAAATAGCCCATAAATTACTCACATGACTTAATAAGACTTTTTTTGGAGTGCTTGTGACGTTTCATAGTTAAATACTTCAATATGAAAAAACGGTTGTTCTTCTAAAATGAGTAAAATATAACACATGCATTAATCTAATGTTTTACTTTCAATAATTTTTTTTGATGATTTAAATATCTGACTAACCTTGCACAAGTAGGTTTTTATGCTTCAACTATACCTCCACCAATTGAATCAGAACGAAGATAGATTTCACAAATCAGCTATTTATAGAAAAAAGCTTGTTAGCGCAGCCCCTTTGGGGCTGAAATGTGGAACTCACATATACTCTCTAGCCTCATTAAACTAATACAAAAAACGTAAAATGAAAAATCTCCTGTAGAGTATAATTGTTTTGCAGGATAATCAATCACTGAAGTAAAAACTCCAATTTCTGCATTTCAAACAAAATCTTTTTAGTTTTTTTTCTACGGGTGCCCTATTTTTGTTTTCATTGTTGCTATTCGCTCATTATTTTTCGTTTTTTGTATTAGTTTAATGAGGCT